CATGGGCCTGCGGCGCAGCGGCAAGTCGTCCATCCAGAAGGTGAGCGCGGCCCCCGCGTCCTCCTCCTCCTCCTCCTCTCAACGAGGAGCCGTTTGTAGCGTTTGTAACGTTGTTCGCGTTTCCCCCGTCGCACCCGCGCGCTCGTGGGTGTCCTGCGTCAGCCATGCTTTCCTTCGCACTGTCACACGTGTAGGCCTCGAGGTCCAGCCCGGACAGCTACGAAACCTGCTGTCCGCCAACGCCCCCCCCCCGGCACCAGCGCCTCGTTCCCACGGTCTTGGGGCGCTCCTCGCGTGCGACTCGCCCGTCTTCCCTTTCCGCCCGCCCCTTATTAATGGTTTGTTAACGGTTCTTAAAATCAGCGTTTTAAGGGTTTCCTGGACACCTAGACCAAGGAGGAACAGAAAGTAGAACAAAGCGACTCTGACACGTAGGTTTGTCGCAGCTGGCGTGAGGCGTCGGACCCGGGGGGATTTCCCCGTGGTTTGGCTGTCTAGCGCAAATGCGCTTCTTTCTATTTCTCATCTTGCGCTTGTGGCGTTCTGCCGCGTAGAGATCGCTGCGCCGCGCCAGCGACTCTCTCGAGCACCCATGTCCGAGCCGATACCGAATGCAGGGCGCGCGCGCGTTTGCTCGGCAGCTCTTCTGTCACCTGAAAGCTTTCGTTTTTAAGCCCCGCTAGCAAGACGTTGACTTTTTCCCCCAAAGCAGGAAGCCCAGCGGACCCAGGAACCCCCTTCCTTGACTTTCGTCGGCAGCGACGCTCTCCCAGCAAGGACAGGGTTTTCAGCGGCATCTCACCCCCTCCCAAAACGACGGGTTCAGCAAAACTTGTCACGTGGGGATGTTGAGCCCCAGCTCAAGTCTGGGATCGTGCCTGGTTTGCAAAAGCCAATAAAGATACCAGGGGTGAAAGTATAAAGAAGATTTATTGCTAGCAATACAAGGTGCAAGCGGAATAATTTCACGTAACAAGCACACAGATTCTTAATTCTAAGCATCTTTTATACAGGAGTATTGGACCTTCATAAGCAGTCTTGTTTGCTGATTGGTTATAAGGGAGTGACGCAAGGAGTTCTTTACTGAGCATGTCTCTATGCCTGTGTTTTAGCCATGTATCTCATTTCCATACATGTATGTTTCATTAGCATACTTCCTCCCCACCTAGGGGTGTGATTTTTAGTATTTAAATTAGCTCTTTGCCCTAGTCCTCTGATTCTGCTTTTGTTTTCAAGCCTCCTTTATCTAAGACTGTCTCCTCCTTATCATTGCAGATGGGCATTAGTTACATAACAGAGACTTTTGCTTGGGCTTTGTATAGTGGTTTCTAGGTCAAACCTGACAGGGAGAGTTGAGACGCGCGCCTGTGCTTCTGTGACGTTGCCGAAGCGAAGCGACGTCCTGCTCTGCCAGCGCAACAGCGCAGAGAGATGTGATTTTTATTTATTTATTTATTTATTTTTATTTATTTATTTTTTTTAAGGGACCCACTCTCTTTCCTTCGATCCCTGTGAGGCGGATCAGGCAGGGCCGGATCATTTCTGTTTTCACGGATCCCTCCAGCTTTGGATTGAGCTGCACCAAACCCCAGGCTCCTATCTTAGGCGTCATTAAAAGGAGGCTTGATGACTACCTAACTGGGGTCATATGAGCTTAACTTAGTATTCATATTCATATGAATTCCGTATTCATATGAGCCCAGTATTCATCCCTGCCCAGGGCAGGGGGTCGGACTAGGTGATCTGCTCAGGTCCCCTCCGACCCTACCTCTATGAATCGGTCAGTGCATTTGAAATCCAGTTGCCAGCAACGAGATCGTTGTGTGGGCACGTGCTGTAACACCGCGCATAGATTGCATGACGTTTGGGCTGGAAGGGACCCCGGAGGATCATCAAGTCCAGCCCCCTGCCCAGGGGCAGGAAGTCAGCAGGTATCCCACCAGCAACGTTAGCATCCAAGTGTGTCTGATGTGAACACGAACATCAGAAGTTTGTGTTCAGAAAGAGACTAGTCGTGGATTTTCTCAGGCTTTTAGAAAATATTTCTTCTAAGAGCCCGCACTTGTCTGTGCTGCAGTAGTGATTGCGTAGGTTTGTAGCAAATGTGCTGCTGTGGCTAGCTGTCAGGCTCTGATCCCATATTAAGGGCTGGGAGGAGAGCCTGGGGCTCCCGAGTGCTTTATGACGGTGTGAAGGCCATGGTCCTCGGTTGAAGGGCCTGGGATAGGTAGGTTTCAATGGGGCTGGCAGGAGAGAGTGCTCCAGTTGTGGGCATACTGGATAAGGGCATGATTCACTTTAGTGCATAACCATCCCCAATTACGGTTTGTTGCATTTATTGTAACAAACTGTGAATACTTGCATCAACAGCTTAAGCATGTTCTAAATTGTATTCTGGTTAGCTGTGTAGTCCCTGTACTTGCTGACATGCTGACACCTCCCTTTCCTCTTGCACACAACTGACCTGCTCCTTTCCTTTTCAAGGCTTTGAAGCCCTGAAACTATTGGAAGCCTTGAGCAGCTCCCTTCCTTTTCATTCTGGGGGCTGCTAATACCACTGCTCTTAGCATGCTGTGAACTTACTGAGCACTGAGTTCGTGTAAGAACATAGTCTTTTTTCAGTCCACTTAAATGGAGTGACTGTGCCCTGAAGGCATGACAGCCTTATAGTAACCACCATTCTGTAAGGGTGAGCAAATGAAAGAAGATTGGTGTCTCCATCATTTCCCCCCCCCCCCCCCCAATATTTTAAAATCCTTCTCTTCCTTCCCAGTTAACCCATTAGCACCCTAAAAACCATTAAGCACATTAGAACCTGTTTCTTGCTGCCTGGTGCCCTCTGCTGCTTTGTACATATAATCATAAGCAACTGCTACCAAAGGGTGTCACTGTCCCCCATTGTACAGCCCAGCCTTTGTATTAGACTCTGCCATCTGCCTTCTTGTGCTGCTTACCTGGGCAGGCTCCCTGTCCCACTTTGGCCAAGACTCTTTGTCCATCTGGCCCACACTCCAGGCCCTGGTGGTATGCACTTTACTTTTGTATACTTTGGCTCTCAGATGCCACTTGGGGGGCCTTCTTAAATCCTGTTGTGCAGGTTTGAGGGTGTTGGGAAAGTGTGAGGAGCAGGGTCTCCCCAGTCCTTGGTACACGCATTAGAAGAAAGAATGTGGGATTTGTAGTTGTCTGCCCCCCCTAACCCCCCTGCTCCTATTACCACCTGCCATCCCATCCACCCATTCTCCTCCCAGCCCTTAATATGGGATCAGAGTCTGACAGATTCTGTGAAAAGAACCATGTGAATGTGGTTGCCTGTGTAGAAGATGACTGGCTTGGTGAGCTGCGATAGTATTCTGACCCCAACCTGTCTCCGTTTTGCCAGCCCCCTTCTAGCAGACATCTGCACATGGGACT